TCTCCGCTGTGTGTTGCTGCTGTCTGTCATTATATCACCCAAAAAAGTAGGGAAAGGAGCAGGATATATCTATAAAAGCTGCCTATTCAAGTAAGCTACCCACACATTAGCACACACAAGCACTAATACCTACATGTCATATGACACTGCCACATCACAATGGGGGTCTTTTAAGGCCATACAATAGAGTAGGTGTGGTCGTGTCAGAGAACCAGAACAGGCAGACAGACACATAACTATACACACTTTCCAGCCTGCCCTCAGGGGGTCTCGTTTTAGCCAGTGATAACCTCTGCCACCTATTTTTCTCCTTCATGTCCATATATCATATGGGACTTTGAGAGGCCTTTCTGCTCCTCTGACAAAAGAAGGAAGGTCTGACAATAGATCACAATTACAGACGAGTGAGTGGTCAAACCCAGGTAAAAAAGCCCCCTGCCCTCGCCTGCAGAAAAGAGCCCTGAAAGTAACGACAGTAGATGGATAGCAAGACAAAAGGTGAAAAGCTGGAAAGGCATCAAACTCTGTCTGAGGATGGTGTTGGGATTCTAATAGTTATGCTTATGTTTCTCGAACAAACAGCATTTTGAAATCAGCCCGTGTAGGACCCCCCGTGATGTGTGGAATGTCAGCAACGCTGAGGAGGAGGAAGTGTGAACACACATTAAACCTGCGTCATGCACATGCTGGTCAAAGTGAAGGACATTTGAGGAAATATACACACATCTTTGAGAGGAGAGTGCTCTCTGTTAGTCTCTGCATGCTTCCTTTCAATTAATCAGTGACTACTTTAACTAAGTGGCACATGTTCTCTTCTAGGCCATTAACTGGCACCACAAAGTTAGCAGTGAAAGGGTAGAAATTAACCTGTATTAGTTGATGTTTTTGGATCCCTTGTGGTAAATAAAAGCAGGCTTTAAGCACAGTGCTGACATATTATCCTTCCCATTAAACCTCGCAAACATGTCCATATTTACAAATCCAGCAGTCACAGAGCAATATTAAGGTTCATCTGGAGTCAAGTTTCTGGCCACCTGAGAAAACAATATCAAGCATTCACTCTCTCATAGCTCTGTTTTGCTCTTTGCAAACACCTGAGGCAAATATCTACCTCTGTAGCTACTAAATGCTTCGCTGTGTTTACCAGGTAGTGTTGGCTTTTAGAGCTCAGCTACATGCTGAAGCTGAAAACACTGACAAGAGTGGTGAAAGTGAACCAAAACAGTAAATCTGTGACCCATAAAACAAAAACAATGAGCCGAAAGATGCCTAAACGCTCAGCAGAGCTAAGGGAGACTGGAAAGTCAGCTGATACTAAATAATTGATGATAGCAGCTTTAAGTCAAATGCTGTCCTCACAGTGTGGATGCTTTCAGTGTATGAGACTAAGCCTATCTACTCACAATTTCTATCATCTTTGTTAGCAAGTGAGTGAGTCTCCATTTGAAGTGTTCACAAATGACCATTAAATAGCAACAAGGAGTTTAATGAAAAAGTCATCCTACCAATACCTTCAAGTCATAATTCTCAAAAAAGTATCTCAAATAACCAACACCAGTGTTGGCTGAATGACTACAAGGTCTTCTTATGTGATAACCAGCAATCTTTTTGTCACTAAAATACTGTAAATCCAATTGTAACCTTGATAGACAAACTGCAATACACTTTATTTGAGAAAAGTATTTACTGTTATTATAAATATGATGGTTGCTCTTTCTCATATTGAGCCATATATATCACCATGACATCTATGACACCATCACACCCTTCACAAGTGTTATAATATATTATAGTGTGATATTTAATTAGCTAGAATTCTACCCTATGATGTAATATTAAAATGTTTACTTACTGATGATTTCGTCTCAATAATATGGTATTTAACACGAGGCATTTCCTTATATTCACAGCTTAAAAACTTCAGACTTCCCTTGAGTTTTTTTCTATTACTTATTAATCCTGTAACAACCTTCAAACTTGAATACACCATTTTAATCAGACTATTCTCTTCCTCCTCTGTGCTCTTACATGAGAGAATCAAATGATCCATGTTGATTTCCTTATCAGCTTTGACATGACCTTCCTTATAGTTAATGCAATTATGTCATGCCACGTAAGCTAAACACCTGCCCATGGCATTCATGCACTTTAAAGTGAGTATCAATCTTCTTATCAACTTTTTCAAGGAAACTGTTTTCCTGGATCTCAAGCCAGATCACAACACATTAGGGTCACTAACCTCCATGCTAACTAGAGCTGAATTATTATAGTATCATCTGATGTTGATGCTCCTAAAGATTATCTGATGCATTACATAACTTACAAAACGCATCGTAAATATGACACCCAGAGCAGTTTGAATTTATTACCTCTTAAACGTTTGATAGTAGCGTATCTGATGGACTTTGATCAGCAAAGAAGCCTGTTCTTGAGCTTCATGAAACAAGTCTGATTCATTTTACACATTTTAATTTATCCCTCGTTATTCCTGTTAATGTAACCACTCCTACATTCTTAATAAAACCCCACTGGTGCTTAATTATAGTAGTTAATTCATATTTAAATCACATGATTAAAGCCTCTACTCTGAGTCAATCATTTCCTTGGTAAAAAAAAAAACACACAACGCTGAATTCCTCACTCCTGAGTATTCGTTACATCAGCTCTTTCCTTCACAAAGGTAAGACATATTTGTTCTCCTGAAATCAACAGTGCCAGTAAAAGTCTCACGTCATGCGGTCAATAAGGAGGAAGGGGAATTACGACAAGATGGCCCTTTCTGTGACGGGAATATGTTCATATAGATAAGAATAACAGAAACCAATGAGTTGTTAACTGAGTTAAACTCTGACATCTTCATGCTACATCCTATCACATTATCTCATTCTGAAACCTGTAGTAAAGTTCAAAGCAATGCCTAATAAAGTGATAATGATTTAACAACAACAGTGAAAGGTAATTTGTTAAGATATTGTGAAGTTTTAGCTGCTTTGTCACTGGAATTTAATGGGATTTTTGTGGTTAATCTCATTTTATTAGGATCAGCCACAATTTCCCAAACTAAGTTTTTGGTATGTTGTTACTTCTGCCTAAAGACTCTATGAGGTTCTTTATTGCTGCAGAAAAACAATTTGAGCCCATTTGAACTAACCATAACCCACAAGGCCAGACCAGGCAGTTCATCCTTGTAGAGGTGGGTATGGAAAAGGTCACAGAAAGAATGTAAACATCCGAGTCAAAACTCACTGAGTAATTTTCCACTGCTTTAAAAACGGCAATCCCCTCCAAGTAAAACAACACATTCACATACTTTCCTAAAACCCCTGTTCAGTCCCTGAACTTGGGAACTGCTACAGCATCTTGACAAATTAATAACAATCCCAGCACTAAACAAATGTACTTTTAGTGTTCTCTTGTCTTTTTGTTTCCTTAGATAAAGAGACAGAGAGATGGAAGAAGACAGAGCTGAAGACAAAGCTCATGTTTCAACACCCAGGGTAAGTTTACATGTATAGCCCATGGCTTTGTGACCCTCCTCTACTTTATAGCCTTCCTTTTCTATTTGCTTCCATCTTTTGTTCTTTCTTCTTTAATCCTCCTGCAAACACAAACAACACCTACTTAGGCCATAATGCATACCACGACCTGTCTGCAACCATTACCAAATGTGTGTATTGCCACATGCTTGCATGCTTTGGCACTACGTGAAGTTATCATGCAGTGTGTCAACCATTTCACATGGTCAGCCATTCATCTGTGCAGGAATGCACAAGCAATGCAACATAAAATGAGATTTGAATCAACAGGTGTCTATGTGGGCATCTTTGAGTCTCTTGTTATATACGCATGCATTACACCTACATGAACGTCTGTCCTGTACCAACTTCTGTGTGAGGGTCTCTGTGCAGCCTCCAGGTCAGACTCCGTGGGTGCAGCAGGCTCGGGCCAGGTCAGCGGCCTGAGCCCGGCATCCGGCAGCAGCACACAGAAAGTCCAGTGTGCTCCTCCTGCTCCCACCATCTGACCAACACACCGCATGAGTGCTTCAGTTTCAGCCACTGCACAAAACACCAGTGTCCGGTTTCCCCCAAAGCAACCCTTCCACAGCTGTGGCGCCTTTTGTTCCCACTTTAAATAAAACATAGCCCGCTCATTAAGTAGAAAGGCCCTCCTGTGCATAATTTAGAAGCCAGGTATCAATTTAAGGCAAGGGGATGAGGTTGGGGAAGGACAATGCTATGTTGTTCTCACAGTGCTGTCAAACAACAAGCACCGCTTGAGTAATGCCCAGCACAGAGGGTATGGCAATGGCAATTAAATGTGGTGATAACAGTAGTTAGGGTTGCAGTCTGTCTCTCCGGCCTATTACACTATCCATTACAGGGATTCTTCTTCACCATCACCTCTCAGTCAGCTGTATTACTCATAATACTTAAGGTGGAGAGCTTGTTTTTGTCTGACAGTCCAAAAATCCAAAAATATTTAAGGTGGAATACTTTTGCAACACATATCAACTTAACAAATGGCTATCTATTAATTTTCAATGGAATCAGGTAATCAGCTAAAGGTTTTAGCATTTGCTAGGAAGAAATGAACATGTATAGCTAGTTACAGATTAATAAGCAGACAAAATATAGTCTTTGGGGCTTTACAACAACAGAAAAAAACATACATAGGTGTAAAAACTGTTTTAGAATTGAAATACATTGACTAAAATAAGATATGATATAAAGTCAAAAGGTTATGAGAAAGCTTATACATACATATATATATATATAAAAGCACTTGCTGTTTGCGATTCGACCTTAGATAGAAGTGAACATACCGTATAATTTATTATAACTTTTGAAAACCACACCTATGAGTAAAGTTTTATTTTAATTAAGCTATTCCCTCACCATGTTCACAATAAACCAACAGGTTGACAGTTGACAACCGAAACCGAGCAGCCAAAGCGATACTAGATGCACCTGCTGCTGCCCCAAGTACCCTTCACGTACCTGCCGATTCTCACTTGGTGGTTTTCCAACTTGTACTCCTTGTTTCCCACGGATTTGTTTCCTCTTCTTGAGTCAGTAAGAGCAACAAAAAATTCTTAAACTAACAGGGACAGTTATCTTGTTGGCTGGCGTGTCTCTCAACCTCTGGTAATGAGCTTTTCCTTTTCCTCCACTCGCAGTTAGCTTACCTTGTTCCCTGGAGGGAGAAGCGGATGAAAGGTAATAGAGGACCGGGTGGACCAATCAGACGCGGTGGGGGGCGGGCATTTTGGTAAAACACGACATCTTATTGGTCTGTTCGTGTTAATGGCGGAACAGTGGAAAAACTCTAATTTCCCTGTATTGTTGTGAGACGGTTCGGTTCAGTGGAAAGAGGCAGAAACTAAAACTGATCAGTGACACTTTTACTGCCATTAACAGAAACATGTGGCTCAAATACCACTGGAGCATAACAAATATTCATATATATTTTAAATATAACTCTTGGTTAAAAAAAGAAGAAAAGAAATAAAAAAGTAGCAAGACAAAAAAATAAATGAAACAAAATGTGAAAAGCGTTCATGAGGCACATTAGAGTCTATCTAAGAGTTAATGTTCTCAGGGCAGCGCAATGTGGATTGAAAGGAGCTAATCATTTCTAAGAGGCTCTGCAATGCAGAGCTATATAAACTACTTTGAATACTTTTGTTTCATGCACAGAAAGATTAAGCGCCATTTTTTGCTTATTGAAATTGACAAACAACTGAGGCTAAACTGTTTGGATGGTTCAGAATGTTATGAACAAAATGTGAACAAATTCAGGGTTAATCAGGTTATTCAGTTATTATTTGTTTGTGGCGACAACACAAAAAAAGATGCCTTTAAATGTGACATTTACAGCTATATTTCATGTTTAACAGGCCTGGCACTTTTCTAAAAATGATCACAAATATCTATTGAGAACGTAATTACTATTTATCTTTGAACCATCAGCCCAATCTTAAAGCAATGCTATTTTTCCTGTAATCAAGCAAACCTTCAAAATATCACTCCTTTTTTTTTCTATTTTTCAGTCTCCCTCCTCCCTGTCCATGTTGTGATTATTCCATTGTTCGTGTTATTTGTGTGGCTGCCACTGCTGCTAACAATCATGGACATTAAGAAGACAATCCAGTGATTATAAGGAGGAAAGTGAAGGGGTAACAGTAGCAACTCTTGACCACATGGTGGCAATTTATTCCCTGAGAACTGAAGTCCAGGCTCTGTCTATTGTCAGCAGCTGTCTTTGTTGTATGGCATCATTACATGAGGTTGATAAGTAAACACTGTGTAAGAAGAGATTACAATTGGAGGCGAATCTGCTGCTACAAACGTGGCTCAGCACACTTCAATTAGCGGCACTTGTCAGTTCATTACCGCTGGGGAATGCCAAGTCTGAAACACTCCACTTGAGTATTTTCATAATCTAGTCCACTGCTTCTAAGAGGGAAATGTGCTTTTTACACCATTATTGTGCAGATGAAGACAATATATCCAAAACCTGTAAGTTTCTATGTTGTAGTGAATTGCAATGGGCACTAATAGTAATGAAACATTTATATCATATTTCACAGTTATTACTTGCAAGACTTTTAAATGTAATTTAATATTTTTACACTTGTGTTTTTAACCAAGTCAATAATGAGTACTTGATCAACCACCGTTTCCTATCAATGTCTGTTAGGCATGTTTAAATGTGCAGCCACTGTTTCTCTGTTGATGATGTTTGCTGACACGTGCCACTCATATGTAGTAATTTAAGTTGCAATTTAGTCGTTTCCACAAAATGTCCACAAAATGTTTAGAGTGTGCTGCCTATGCCATGTGCATTTTGTTTCTTTAGACATTGTGAAGAGGGTTACATAATTTCTAATTGTGCAAAACATGTTCTTTTCCGGAAAAGTCAACACTGCAGTTCAGGACGTCTTCAAAAGTTTTATGAGTTAATTTTAATGTTAAACAACTTTTGTTCTCACGAGCAAGTACATGAAGAATTCACATCAGCTGCTTCAGGCACTCTGGGTAATCTCATGCTGCTAAAATAAAACCAGTAACACTCCTTTAAACATATCCATATATATTTTATTCTCAATACGGCAAAATACAAAGAATATTCAGGACAGACTCTCATTAGTCACAATTAATACTCACTTCACAAGAATGCTTTTAAATTACATAACCTAAGTTTGAAGATCAAACTCAATGAGTACCTTTAATCATATTGCATCCATCATATATAGTATCTCTATCATCAGTTCTCTTAAAACTAATCCAATTTAGATTATTGTACATAGTGTATGCTGCTGGTCTCGCTTTTGAGACGACTTTTAGAAAAAGGTGTTATACAACATACTGTATAAACTGCTACAACTGTTTTGACGTGTAGAGAAATACCTCTGTTTCAAAAGACATGTTGGACCAATTGTTCAAAAGGGACACACAGTAAATACACCTCTCTCTGAGGAAGAAACAGACATGGTTTTACATAACAGACTGTACATGCCATCCATCCGTCCCATGAGATCAACAATATACATTTCATGAAAAGTACACAGCTCCATATCAAATACAGAGAAAGACAAAATATTCGCACTTGGATCTAGAGACATTAATGATTATGTGGCGACCATGATACTGAGAGACGGTGAAGCAGAAGACAAAGTATACGAGCACAGTAAGAAAAAGACTGAGAAATCAATTTGATATACAGCGTTAACAGACTGGGATGTCATCTGTAACAACTTGAAAGAAGAGAAGAACATAAAAGCCCACAGAGGAGAAAAAAAAATGTGCATAAAGTATCTCACAAGTATATTTACAGCATTTTTAAATTTAATAAAAATGTCGACCTGTAGTAGAAATTCACCCTTAAAGAAATGTTATATTTACAATTTATACATTTGTATTTAAATAGAAACATGCAAGTGTTAACATCTTCCTACTGAATGTCAAAAAAACTCATCTTACCCTGGATTCTTTCAAGTTAGAATTAATATTAATTACTACTTACAATGAAATCTCATCATGAACAACTCCAATACATTTACATCTTCCTATTTCATAAAATGGTACTCCTTTAAAAAGGCAAAATAGAAAAAAACATTAAGCAAAGGGGCAGAAAAATAAATAAGTGTGAGTAGCAAACCGTTAAAAATTATTCTAATGCTAAATTTTTTTTTACATTTGACTACAAGATAGTGTAGGGAACACAAGGCGCGGACCTGTACTTACAAAGTGTACCAGTGTATGAAGACATTGACTGGGCTGGCAAAACCCACAGAGGAATTCCTATGAGAAAAGTGGCCTCCAGCTTTAAGTACAAAATGGCTCAAGCCATCTGTGTTTGGTTATAAAAACAGATTTATATACACATGTATACTAAACCAGTACACAAAATTGCAAAAGCTAAAGGCATTGGACACTTGAGTTTAACAGGTTTCTCACTGAGGTGGAAAAAAAAAATGAAGTGGGGAAAAAAATCCCAAGCCTAAAAATTAAATTTTGTCCACAGAAACAGATGTTTTATTTTTTTTCATTTATTTATTTATTTTGTAAAAATCCTGCATAGATTAAAATAATACCTCCTCTGACTTTCTCTTTTTCAAGTGTAAGAGAAAATAACAGTATCCCCTTCTACAATAAAGGCCAGGGAGCCAGTGAAGGAAAGAAAAATACAAGACACAACAACAACAAAAAGTAAAACCTGAGCCAAATAGTAATTTATTTTGTAATGGCATTACTTATATCAATTTTAAAATAGAAGAATAGAATCAGAAAGTTAACACCTACGATAAGTCTTTAATGTTCCGGCACTTAAAAAAAAAAAATTCAAACTCTGCACGAGCTACAACAAAAATCTGCTGATAACATTTTAACTGAATACTATTTGGCCCAGGCTTTAATATTTCCAGCATGTTTTAGTAGGAAGTGGGCTTAAAACAACCAGAAAAAAAAGACAGTTCCTCATGTCAGGGACAATTACCAAACACCCAAATGCTGACTGAAATCTCAGGTGTAACATCTTCATATGAAACCACTTTCATGCACATCTGCCTTGCTGACAAGCAGTCATTTTAAATTAACAAAAAGAAATGTTTGTGTCTGGACAGCTGGCGTACACAGTCACTCTGCCTGCTGAACCATGTACTTCCTTGTAATACAAGTATGATTATGGTTTTAAATTTTAAATAGGAACAATTTAATATACAAATACTTCTTATAACCCCTGTTGCAACCCTGTTTTAAACTTATGCATTTGACAAGTTATACTTTTGCTTGGCTAGAAGAAGGAAAACAAAAACTGCTTGGTATATAAATAAAATCTATATTGGTCATTATACTTTTATTTTGAGATATATAATCATAGATTTAAAACTCTTTGTTGTATAAATGCAACACTGCTAATCTGCATCACTAATGAGTTTGCTTCTCTACATCCTTTTTTTCAGATAAATCTGCTTTTATAGTGCCAAATTAGTGGTTACTCAGGCCCAGTTTGAATAAACTGCCATGTAAATAACTGCATTGTATATGTGGACACAATCCTCAATACTTAAGACACTCCCTGCTGTTTCTTAGAAAAATACACTCTGGTCAAACAAAGGGATCAAAACAAGAATAACACTGTGTGGAAAAGATCTTTCCTCGAGGAAATTGATCAATGAACAATGTAGCTATTGGACTTATTCTGAGAAAACCTCGATGTTAACATGATAAATTTTAGTCAGGCCCCGCTAGCAACGCCTCAGGGCCATGATGCTCATTGGTAGGACCAAAGTGTTTTAAAGGGAAAACTGAAACAACTGATCGTGATTTGATTTTTTTTAGCAGGGCTGAAAAGAAGTTCATGATTCTTTCAAATAAACTTAGACTGTTCTAAACTAATACACTGATCAACATAACTCCTAAGAGAACATTTATAAATATATGTGTCAGAGGCATTAATCTGCTGTGCACGGTAGCCCTTCCTACAGTGCTTAAATCTTGTGGGCATGCGCCAAGATTATCCTCTAGTGCCGAGAGATTTTTGAAGAAAGATGAATCCAGATGGTAGCTTAATTTGTGGTGGCCAACACCGTCTTTGTTTTAAGATGTTTTAAGAAGATTTGACAAAAAAATCAAAACTGCAATAAAAACATAATTATTGCCAGC